CAACTGAGGGAAACAGTCTCAACGTAACAGGCCAACTCCACCCGAACCTTACGAATCTCCAGCCCACTGTTTCAACGCGCCTCAGAGGGTCTCAACCTCCGAGCCGTCAGGTCAAGCTGTCAGCCATAGCATGACGGGACCACCCTCCCTGAGCCATGTGAGCGCACAGCCCACAAGGCTAGACAAGCCACAGAGTGTCTCGATCTCCGGGCTGTCAGGTGAAGCCGTCAGACACAGCATGACGGGACCACACTCTCCGAGCCATGTGAGTGCACAGCCCACTAGGCTAGACAAGCCACGGAGTGTCTCGATCTCCGGGCTGTCAGGTCAAGCCGTCAGCCATTGCATGACGGGACCACACACTCCGAGCCATGTGAGCACACAGCCCACTAGGCTAGACATACCACGGAGTGTTTCAATCTCCGGGCTGTCAGGTCAAGCCGTCAGCCATTGCATGACGGGACCACACTCCCCGAGCCCTGTGAGCGCACAGCCCACTAGGCTAGACATACCACGGAGTGTTTCAATCTCCGGGCTGTCAGGTCAAGCCGTCAGCCATTGCATGACGGGACCACACTCTCCGAGCCCTGTGAGCGCACAGCCCACTAGGCTAGACATACCACGGAGTGTTTCAATCTCCGGGCTGTCAGGTCAAGCCGTCAGCCATTGCATGACGGGACCACAACGTTCATGTTAGACACGCAACACTCACTGGGCCATCCTGGTCAGGATCTGCGCCCCAAGATAAGTGACAGCCAGCACCACAATTCCAAATCCCTGGCAGCATGTCACCATCGCAATTTAACACCATCACAACACATACAATTTGAATTATGATCCCCCACAGAACTGATCCAATGCCGAACAGGTACGCACAATTTGTGACGATCCCGAATATTCAATGGTCACAACAATACACCTCACATCCCGTATCCGTACACATCATCTCCGAGACTCGCATTGCAGCAATGCAGCTGTACCAACCGAGTGGAGAGAGCAACGCAATTTTACGGCAATTAACGGAAACGCACCCCCGATCCATGTAGAACACAAGGAGCATTCCCGCACAAAAGACATCATCTGTGCAACAACGGACAGGAACCAACCAGTGAGTTTGAAACAAACCGAACCTGTAATTTCAAAATCCCCTTCAACATTAACCATGGGACTCAGGGCATTCGAATAAAAAAAAACTATACACAAACGCCAAGAATCGCCGAATTGATTAATACAGTATATGCAGTATACGAAGTTCGTACAGCCAATCATTTGGCGCAATGTTCCATCCAGTCCCCACATGGCAACACACACAATCAATACTCCAGACAATCCGTACATAGTAAATAATCACCAGCAAGTACCCAACAGTCCATACACTGTTAACAATTTCAAGCAAAGCTCCATACGGTCTGTACATTGGCAACAATGACGATCAAAGTTTCTGACAGTTACAAGTGACAATCACGAGCGAAACTCCATACAGTATACACAATAACAATGGCGATTTCGCAACACAACGATGTAACAACACGAGTCATTAACACGGCAACATACAGGATATCAACGGAGCTCGGGACACCAACAACGAATTAATCATTAACTACCCCCAGAAGATACCGATCTCGACGCCGTAATTAACAACAAACACTGGTCGCCGCGTCAATTTCTCACGCACACAACCGGACGAACACGTTCCGCAACCCAGCGAGTAAAAAAAAAACACCCGCGATCGCAACCCGGCACACGGAAGATGGGTGAAGTTATTATTATTATTTTTATTGGGGCCGGGTGCTTGTCAAGTCACAACTCGCCTGGCAAACTGTGAATAGCGGAGGGCGGCAAGGTGGAGCACTGGAACGGCCCGAAGAATCTTTGATGGTGAACACGGCCTGCTCTTGCGAACCCATCCACCTCTCGCGCTCGAGCAGAAGGCTGGAACTCCCCCTCTGCAGGCGTTGATGTCGGCGGGAGCGGCATTTCGGCAGCAGGAGCGGTGTTTTGGCGGGAACAGCGCCCCGACCAGCCGCCGAAATGGCGGGAACGGCGTTTTGGCGGGAACAGCGCACCGACCAGCCGCCGAAATGGCGGGAACGGCGTTTTGGCGGGAACCGCGCCCCGACCAGCCGCCGAAATGGCGGGAACGGCGTTTTGGCGGGAACAGCGCCCCGACCAGCCGCCGAAATGGCGGGCCCACCGCGTGGCCCGCATGCCCGGGCTTCCCCCGCCAGCCACCGCAGCGACGATGGTGTCCTCTCGCCGCGGCTCCGTCGCTCCGTTCCCGATGGCGGCGAAGCAGCAGTGCGATGCAAGTCCCGCCGCTCCGCGTGCAGCGCCATCTCTCTCTCTCTCTGTCACCGGGGCTGCCATCCCCGGGGCTGTCCGAAGGACGGTCGTCACACCATCCCCGTCGTACGAAGACGTCCAGATGAGTTTTGTATTTGTTTTTCGTGTGCCCATTTTACTTCCCTAGGATAACACCTAGCAATATTTATTTTTCCACAACTTCTGACACCAAATGTAATGGGTTCAATTTAGGCGCACACACTTCTTGGGAGGCAACACTCATTTATTAATTAACACAACGTTTACTCAACAGTTACTCTTACTCTACACATAGGGTGGTGACCACCGACCTACACTAGCTAACTCACAATTGTATTTTAGCCGCTCCAGCGTGACCCAGCCAGGTGGTTGCTGGCAGTCCGCTCACTGTAGGTCTTCTCTTCTGGCATCTTCACGAGGTGTCTTCATTCTTCTCAGGAACAGCCCTGCTCTGCCTTCACACCACGCTTATATCTCGTCTCTCTGGCGTGGCCGGCTCCGCCCAGGCCACGCCTCCCTTCCCAGGCCACGCCTCCCTTCCCAGGCCACGCCTCACTTCCCAGGCCACGCCTCACTTCCCCCACCTCTGGGAAGGTCCGGATCCCTCCAGCACGTGACCCCCCAGGCACCCCCTTGGGGCCCCCAGCCCTCGTACGGGCCAACACAGTAGTGACCGTTCTGTCACTACACAGGCAATCATCGGGTTACGGAAGACCCGCCTTACGGAAATCCAACTTCACGGAAATGCTCCCATAAATAATGTAAAAAAAGTTAAATATGCGGAATGTTTGCGTGAGTTATGTAAGCACAAATAGTTGCTGCGCGGTGAGGTTGCGGATGAATACCGCGGAGTGAGGTGTAAGCTCCGCCTTACGCCTCCACCAAAACGCGGCCTTCTCACCGAGCCCGAGTTTCACGAGGATTAAGTCAAATGGAATTTTTTTGTAGAGTTACTAATTCTTTTCCTTTTGTTACATTAAGTAATTGTTTGTTTTCTGTGCTTAGAACTGTCTTTTTTCTCCCATGTTTCTACTGCTAGTTGTCTTCATTTGAAGTTTATTTTTTTAGTTAGTTACTGTATGTACTGTGTGTATGTGTGCGTGTATCTGTGTGTATGTTGGGGCAGTGGTAGTGTAGTGGTTAGCGCACTGCACTACGAAACCCGGCAACCCGAGTTCGATTCCCGCTCACGGCCAACACCGGTGACGTTTATCCGAACCGGTCTTGGGCCTCCCCTAGGTTGACTCAGCCTCAAATGAGTACTTGGTGTCGTGTGTAAACAGACACTGAGGAGACAAAGGCGGTCGGGCGTGGTGCTGGCCACCCATGCCCTCGTGTACCGTGCCTGCCTTCATAGGTGCTTGCGAGCAGCACTTGCCCCAACATCCTGTTAAGGCTATACGGGGATCTTTGTCTTTGTATGTGTATGTGTGTAAACAAGCTTACTCCACCTTTGTCTTTGTGTACGTGTATGCGAAGTCTAGGCGAGCCTAATGTATGGTAAACGACCATTAGAAAGTGACTGCTTTCTGTTAACAATTAATATTACAATTTTCGTGGTATTCATAAACAATTGGATACAGTATATGTTCCATCAGTTTAATTATGGGTAGTGTTAGGGTAGATATTCGATAAAATAAAAGAATGAAAGAATAATAGGAAATGTAGAGCATATGTTCAGCGTTACGATACGGGTAGCGATAGAAAACGGACGATAGCGTAATAAAGTACTGAGAGAAATGGAAGGCAAGGCGTGACTATTACCGGCTATTGGATTTTATTGTTGATTTTGGAGGAAAATTGTTCAATTTCCGACATACAGAAAATTCTGGTTCCGGATCGTTATCAGGAACCTAACCATTCCGTAACCTGGGGACTGCCTGTACCCATTTGCTTAGAGAGGGTTCACATTGCCTTGCGTGCCCTCAAACAGAGTGATGCTTATATTGGGAGCTGGTGATATGAATATCCTCCATATTATACTCTCATGTGTGCTTCAAGTCAAATAATACCATTTGAATGAGGGGCTTAGTTTTATAATAATTTATTTTTGTTTTTGGAAATTATATTGTGATTGAATTGCCTGCATCTAGACAGTGAGGTATTTTCCATTCACGATCTCCATATGATACATTTAAATTAAGGAACAGTGTTGACAGCAGTGTTCCAGCACCAATATCAATGTACATCTTTGTAATTAACCATCATTTTAAAATAAAGGCAGTGTGAATGACTTATAATGGAAGTACTGATAATTGACATGATACATTTGTTAGGTCTCTGGCAGGTCAGATTAGGGAAGTACCCAGAAGCTAGCTTTCATCTGACTTGTTTCAAGGATCTTTGGTTCCACAACCCACGGTTGCACTTTTCTGCTGGGCAAGTCAGTGATTGGCTCACTTCTATCTCTTTCGCTAGTTACGTTCTCAGAGCTAAGCAGAGCCAAATTGAGTGAAAACCCCAATTTATATGCTGTTTATTACATTTTTTTGTGGCTGGGTTCACAAACATTGTACTCAACAATCTGGTTTATGCTGCGTGAGAACCCACGTTTGAAATGCACGAACTCAGATCACAAACACGTATTAACATTTGTTTCTGAGCCATCCAGCCACGTCTAATGATAATTCACTGTCGGAGGTTGTGTTGACGATGCTTGTCCCTGTTTATCCTTTCAGGGCACACAAGATGACATCCCTGCTGGAAGGATGATGAACTATAAATTTTATCTGAACCAGTTGAGGTGCAAGCCTGGCAGTAAGATCATACATAAACACACACCTCCACCCCATACACACCCAGCACTACGACAGCAACAGTCACCATTGTTCGTGCGGATTTTGCATCAGGCTTGGTGCACTTTGAGGCCACGTTGAGTGATAAAGGCTTGGTTAATTGACCGGCGTGACTTGCCGATGAACCTCCCGCACTCGCTATTGTGCCAACTCGCGATGTTTGATTGGTTTTACACTGAGCTCATTGTTAATGGCAACAACGAACTCGCATACACACACCTTCACCACACACACAAAGGCAAAGTCATAGCTATACAAACTCCTAGAGCAAGTGCTGTTATCAAGCACCTTTTAAGACCAGGATGGTACATGAGGGGGCGTGTTGTGGCCACCACCACAGCCCAATAGCTTTTTATCAGTGCCAATATTTAAACACTGCACCAGGTACTTATTTGAGGCTGAGCAAAAAAAACCAAGGGACTTAATGGACAGTGGTGCACAAGCACACGTAAAAAAAACACCCTGCACTTAATGTGTGCTGAGTTTATTTAAGGCCGAGTCAACCTAGATGAGGTTCAGGACAGTTTAAGACCACTTGCCATAGTTGTCACCGATGGACTGGAATAGGTCATCAGGGTTGCTGTGCAATTTAATAACCACTTTGCCACTGCTCCCCACACATCCAAACACTTTTCTAAAGTGATATAAATTTAATTTGCTGCCCATGACACCTCATGTCTTTTTTAATTTCATACAGGAGAGTCACACTGAGTCTTTTTCAGCCAATTAATAAGTGTAAATACTTGTGGGAGAAAACCGGAACACCCGAAGAAAACACAAATCAAAAAGGGGCAACACTATACCCCTACAAATGGAAATAGATAGCGATTAGGCCACTTGCTGTACTGCATTCGCATGGCAAGCCAAGGTGTGGCAGCTCGTTGGCCACGGGAAGGGAGTTTCAGAATATTCGTGCGCGATTCCCCAACCCTCGCTCTGCAGTGCTGAATTACAGGCATGCATAGCCACCACCTAACCAGACAACAATCCACTTGCAGTACAGCAAGAAGGTTGCTAATCTACGTGCATTTCGAGCATTATCCACTCATGTGGTTATTTATATGCTCTGGTCAGCTTTGAAATGCAATTACATTGAAGTTGTAATATTCCTAGCAGAACACTCTTCAAAATTAGCCTTCAGACTCGGTGAGGCTTTCATGGTAAAATTAAATACATTATTGTACAAGTGTTTTTAACTTAGAATTTTCTGCACAGGCATGCTGATCGAGGAGATACTCACCGACTGGTTTTCTGACTACGAGCAGCTGGAATGGAACCACTCGTACATCCAGTGGTAAGATTTGAGCAAACTAACAAGATTTTTAATTTCTCCTTTGAAAATATATATTTTGTATTAAATGAGAATGTATTCATTAGGTGAGAGAGCCCATTGAGACCACATGTCTCTTTTATTTGGGAGAACTCGTGGAGAGTATAACCAGGCAGCGTGTTGTATTTCCAGCTGAAAATTGTTGTTCAAAACGTTAGTCCTCTTTAAAAAATGTGCAGAGATTGCATGGTGGTTTAGGTGGCAGATTTTATAAGTACTTGACTATTTTGCAAAGTATACAATTGGGATCTCACAACTGCCCACTAATTTCACTGAGGAATTAGTAGTTGGAAAGGACCACCTGAGTGGAGGCGGAGGAGGAAGTGATAGGTGCGGTAGAAGACGGATGGAGCAGAGAGTTTAAAGAATTGAAGAGGAGAGCAGGGTGTGCAGATAGGGCGGAAATGAGGGAAAGAAAGTATGATTGACGACAAGCCTCCAGGGCCGAAGTGTAATTTGATATTAGGGAAGTATATGCGGAATGTGAATAATGAGTTGGTGAGGTCCTCCAAATGCGCTCTGCTTTGTGTACGAGCCTGCGCTGTGACTTGAGCGGTGGTGATGACCAAGGACATGGGGAGCGTTGCGGAGGGTGGAAGGGAAGCAGAGGTGCAAGCGCGTCTAGAGGAAGAGAGTCCTGAATTTAGGACAAAAGAAGCAGTTTCGATTTAAAGCTTTCGTGACTGCAGGGTTTCATATTCTTGGTTCTTTCTGTAAATATTCTTAGGTTTTTTTTTTTCGGTAAAGTCACGTAGGTAAAAATTTTAATTAATAAAAGTAAAATAAAATAAAAATCACGACGTTTCGGAGGCAACACAAGCTTCCGTCTTCAGGATGGAACTGTCACAGCATGATAGCTGTATCAAGTCACGTAGAAGGGAAATAATACAAAAATAAAACACTTTTTAAAATTTTTCTTGCTGTGGTTTTCACACCTGATGATGATTGCTTGTGTTGCAATCGAAACGTCGTGAGAATTGTATTGTTTTATTTTTGTTATTTTATTATTTCCCTTCTACGTGACTTTACCGAAAGAACCAAGAATATGAAAAGAAGCATAGTCAGGGTGCAGGGAGGAGAAATCTGAGTTGGGGAGGAAGAGATGAGGAAATCAGTGGTCAAGGTTAGGATGGAACCCATGATCTCTTGTATACCAAGCGAGGTTGTTAACATCTCTCCACCAAACATAAAGACCCAGATGTGACATTTCTGCAAGAAACACATTGAACGAATGCCGCAGCATAAATTTCATATTTGTGAAATTACCTGACACTAATTTACTAAAAAATTCAACTTGATGATAGAGGGAAAGTAGTTTTGGCTTGTCATTGCAGCCGCTCCTTTTTGAACAATTTTAGTCTATCTTGGAGAGAGACCGTGGGCCCCTGTGGGGTTTAGTAAAGGATGTTGAGTGATTAATTGCTTGATTGATTGTTCCCTAGGCTTTTCCCGATAAGGGAGCAGGGCATGAACCCCTATGCAGCAGTATTGACCAAGGAAGAGATTGAGGTGAGTATCAAGGTCACATCTTTTACAAACTTTGAGTTGGACCTGCTGCCACTATTAGCACCATTATCACAAAAATAACCACAGCCGCCATTCGCCACTAAGTGGCGGTGACATCACCATGGTGCTTGTGTTAGGCCAGGTGCACTTTGAGGCCACGTGAACTGTCAAAGGCTTGCTGACAGGAGGTCACAGGATAGACCCAGGTGCCATGGATTGACTGACATGACTGGCAGATGCACCACCTGTGCCCCCTACTGTATGGACTTGCTGAATTTTAGTGGCCCGGCACTCCACTCATTGTTGTGAGCGTTGCTCCTCTGCCCTTCGCTGTTGTTCGATGACGACGGCCTCCAACTGCCCAGTAGCGTCCTTCACAATCTTCCTCCATAGAGGCCGATCTTAACACTGCTGATACCAGTCTTCAGCAAGTCCAGTCATCTCCACATCCTCCTGGATCACATTAGTCCATCTGTCCTCCAGCCTGAGCTATGCCCATTTAGCCCCTTTATCTATCCAAACAAAATCTGATTGGACATGCGGTGACTGGACATGTGGGCTACATGACCCATCCAAAGGCAGCTTTGCCTTCCAGAGGAGCTCATTGATGCGAATATGTCCAGATCTTTCAAGGATTTGGAAGGTCACACAATCCAGCCTGATTAAACCCAGGATGGATCATAGGCAGGCCAGCCTGAATGTTTCAAACTGGCACCAGGACCTTTCCCCGCACACTTGAGGAGGGAGATGCCCCAGGTAGTTGTTACAATCTGTATGGTCCATCTTAAAGAGAGGAGGACCACCAGGGTATCCTTCCAATCATGTGGAACCCGTCCTGTGGTCCAGGCAGTTGTGACGTCATATAGGGTAGTTTGCACACAAACGACAACCTCCTTCAGCAGTTCGGTTGGGAGATCATCTCCAACTGGACGTCTGTGAAAAAGAGCTTCATAGCTCATCAGATTCCTCCAGTCTAAAAGATTCTGATCTCTGCCTACTCACTAGGAGTAATTACTTCTGCCAAAATCATCATCTAGCTTAGACCAGGCTACCGTGGGTTTGAATGGGGTCCTAGGTGGACACCCACCACCGCAGTGGAGGAATGGCAGGCGCATCTTACAGATGACAAGCCGATGGTTAGTGGGCAGATCAGCTCCACGGTAGGTCCTGGTGTGAAGGACATGGGCTGGCATCCGCTGTCCCGTTACTATATAGTCCAGCAGATGTTCTTGCTTGGACCAGGCGTGCATCCATGATGTGTAGATGCTCTAATGGTAGAACAGTGTTGTTGGTACTTAGTAGCCTTCTATCGTTACTAATAAGCTCTGGCCCATTCCTTCCAATTAGTCCGGCCCAGGTACCCGCGTCATGACATACTGGAGCATTCAAGTCACCCAACAGGATGACTCTATCCTGAGGGGCGAGTCTAGCTCGCACCTGGGACAGGAAGTTATAGAAGGCCTCTGACTCATCAGCTTTGTCTGCATCTCTCTACTGATGTTCATCTTCAGTGGGGACGTAAACGACCACCAACATTCCTCGCCTCTTGTTGATGAGTAGGCCAGCCCACAGCAGCCTGGGACTCACAACTTCCCACACCTTGCCTCCACGCTCCCACCCCAACATCAGCACCACCACCAGCATTACACCTCCACCACCAGCGTTGCTAACATCACCACCTGCATCAGCAGTACCAGGAGTACCACCAGCATCACTACTACCACTGTCACTGCCATCCTTCATTCTAGTAAATTATTGATATAAAAAAATTCTACAGGTGCGAAATAGTGTATTGCACTAAACACTTCTTTGTAGGGTGAAACTAGTAGACATATAGGGTAGCAGGATGTACCTCACGAATGATCCATAATAGGAGTAAAACGTGTACACTCTTGTCACAGGACATCGGGGATCTAATTTACTGATAATCTTTGATAATCGTTAAACTGACACACTCGCCTTGCTGTTTTAACTGTAAACATTCAGAATAAAGCTCCTGTGCATATGCTGCAGCTGCCTTTAGTTCGACTCGTAAAGCATTGTGGGTTATGCTGTAAAGCTTTGCTGACCGCATATTTTTCACCCTAGCAAATGATGTGCTGCTTATTTGCTAATTATTTGTGTTCATTGGTTCTTCAACACGATTGTAGATTCATGGCACTGTTGCTTAAAACTTGCGTCACGAGAATTGAATTGTGAACCCCGACTTGTGAATCATTACATCCCTAGCCTCACTGTGTTTGATTGGCTCCGCTCTCGTTTGTGTGGCTTGCAAAATGTTTAGAAATTCAAGGAGTCAAAGGAGGTTCAGGGCCGGCTGATGCGGGCCTACCGCATGATGCTGGATTTTTATGGGATCATGCTCGTGAATGAGGAGACTGGGGAAGTGGCGCGTACGGGCAACTGGAGGACGCGGTTTCTCAACCTGAACAGGCAAGGACTCTTCAGTCCATGGCATCCAGATCTGCCTGTGGAGTTTAGGCTTCCACCTCGTTGGGTGGTGCAGTGGTTAGAGCTCTTGACTGGAAACTAGAAGGTTATATATTCTTGGTTCTTTCGGTAAAGTCACGTAGAAGGGAAATAATAAAATAATAAACATATGAAACAATACAAATTCTCACGACGTTTCGACTGCAACACAAGCAATTATCATCAGGTGTGAAATCCACAGCAAGAAAATTTGAAAAAAGTGACGGTTTTTCCTAACGTCAGCACCATAGACAGCAATTTGGCAGTTGGCCAGATGGACGAGTACATCTATGTTCGGAAAAGAGGAGGAGGGAGAAGAAAATGGAATGCGGTCTGAAAGTCACCGTAAGCGTGAACACAATAAATTAAGACCCGAAACGGTTTATCAAATCCTTCCAATGATTGCTAAGCCAGAATCCATCTTCTTGGTTGAAATTGTCTCTGTGTTTGTATATGTGGATAGCCTCATGAACGAATCTCTCATGGTAGCCAGATGGCTTGCAGAGAACCTCTGTCTTGGAGAAGTCAATGTCATGTGAGCCCAATGTCATGTGAGCCCACTGAATTATAACGTCGTAAGAATTTTTATTGTTTTATATTTGTATTATTTTATTATTTCCCTTCTACGTGACTTTACTGAAAGAACCGAGAATATGAATCCCTGCAGTCACGAAAGCTTTAAATCAAAATTTAACTAGAATGTTGTGAATTTACATCCCGCTCGGTGGTCAACTTGACCCATTATTCCTGTAAGGAATGGCCCTTGAAATTCCACCACTGGCTCAAGGCCACCAGTGGAGATAAGTGCTGCGCTTTTAGCCGAGTGTGTTGGTGCTTACCTGGATGAAGCAGACTCAATGTGCAAGAGACATTCATTGATGCTCAGGGGCAGTGACCTGCCTGTAGAAGTAAGGACAGCAAGCATGTTGCCAGAATATCTACTGACCTTTACTGTCTGGTCATGTGCATTCCCATTTTAGACGTGGTTTTCTTACACATGAAGTCAAAATAACTTTAAAATAACTGGCCTAATATCCAAAGAAAAACCCTCCTGGGTAAAAGTAAATTATCAGACTGATGAGGAATGGTCTCATTGGTGTCACTGATATATCACATGTTAACTGTGCTACAAATGAACTCTGAAGGTAATTCAGTCAAACTCAGCTCTGATGTTTATTCAGCAGACCGGAGCAGAATAAAAACCGCTCACTAGTCCACACAGTTTTGCAGCGACTGCATTCAAGACATTATGTCAATTGTTTTTTTGTTGTATCATATTGAACTATGGGAAAACTTCTTAAAGTTTAATTGATGTGGAATAATTACCGCATTGAAGACCTCTGCTTGTTGTATTTAGATGGCCCGTCAATCCAACCTACCTCATCTGTATTTATCTCTCTCTCCCGACACGACAGCCACACGCACAACAACCTGCGGCTGACGCGCATCCTCAAGAGTCTGGGGGAGCTGGGTCTGGAGAGGATGAAGGCACCGCTCGTGCGGTTCTTCCTGGAGGAGACGCTGTGCAACAAGCAGCTGCCGCGCGTGAAGCAGAGCTGCCTCGAATACTTCGTGTTCACCCTCCGCACGAAGAAGGAGCGTCGAGAGCTGCTGCTCTTCGCCCGGAAGCACTACCCGCAGCCCGACTGACTTCCCGTGGGGGCCGCCCGCGCACAAGCTGCCCGGCTTCAGGAAGCCGGCGGCAGAGCAGCAACAGCAGGAGCAGCAGCAGGAGCAGCAGCAGTGCGTAGCAGCGCCAGAGAGCGGTGGGAACGGCTCGTCCGAGCAGAAGGAACAGAAACACGACGTCGGCGCGGGCTCGGAGATGGACGAAAGCCACGACGATTGGAAAATGGATGGCGACGAAGGGAAGTCGTCGCCACTTGGCGACGACCCCAGGCCCGATCCCACGCGGCCCGCGGAGTGGAGCGACGGTCCTCACGTCGCCACAGCGAGCAGCTCGACGTGTGCCGCTCACAAGGCAGAGCGGACGAAGACCGACGCGGCCACGTCGACGGAGGAAGAAGGGGAATACAGAAGTGTGCTCACAGGCGCCTGGCGATGCGACAAGACCGTGACGCCGTGGCGAGGAGAGGGAGCGGCGACGGCGGTGATTGCGTCGCCGGCCCCAGACGGCACCGCCACCGCCGGGAAGCTGCGTGCGGTCGTGGTGTCGCACACGACACGTCTGCAGGAAGTATCATCCGGCGCTGAGAAAGGTTCGCCACGGAGCGGTGGGCGCATGGGCAGCGCTTTGCATGCGGCCAGAAGCCCGGCTGAGAAGAGCGTGTAGAACGAACAGTCGTGTAGCAGGAAGGAAATCGGTGAAGTTTTCGTTAAGCTTCACCTAGTGGTAACTGAGCAACCACTGCCAAACTATTTCACGTAAGTATTCTATTGGTTGTGCAGAGCTCATGGTTTCATTTCTCTGCGCTTGCAATCCCAGTCAAACTACAGATTCAAGCTCATAAAGGTTCTTTGCGTATGAATGATGTGCAATAGTATGTGTGCGAGATGATGGTCTGTTCATTTTTTTCCTTCCACGTATCGCCTTCTCGTGACATTCACCGTCCTTGGTATCCGGCTATTGCAAATAGGTTTTTTAAACATTTTTATTTATATTTAAAAGTGAAAAGTACGATGTGTGTCTGCTCAACTTTTTAAGTGTCTGCGTCATAAGCTATTTACAAATATATTGTCTTTATTTAACTATGGCTAGTGCAGTGGTGAATGAAACTGACATATGTGGACAAGTCTGCATCAAGAAGTTTAAAAAAGGCATTGTCTGTGCTCGTTGAGAATGTATTTCCGTCTAATTCAACTAATACGCTGACGTTAAGCATTCTCAACATTGCGACATGCGGGCGTAATTGGTACCATGAGGAGGACAAAAGGACCATCTCACCACACCTGGCAGACTGGTGGGGTGGTTCATAATGGAGTTTTTCCTCCCCCACCAAAAAGCCACGTGTGGTTGATTAAACAAGGGGGAATGGCAAATGTACCAATGACTGGATGGAAATATTTACACATAAAAAGTATGTCGTTGTGCAAACATGTTTACAGTTGAATAAATTAAATGAATACAGTTTAACACGTAGGCTTTCGCGACCAGTATTATTCATAATAAAGGTTTTTGGGTTAGATCACGTTAATTATAAATGTGTCCGCAACCCACAACCACCCGACACAGCCAATCAGTAAAATAATGTGTCGCGTTGACAAAAGACAAATATTTCACTACTTTAGCCCACCGGTGTGTTGAAGAGTGAAGAGATACACTTATTGAATTTTAAAATCATCTCAATGCACAAAACCCAGCCATTCAGTTCACCGTAGAAATCGAGGTGAATAACACACTCCCATTCCTGGATATTTTGCTTGGACGCGGTCAAAATGGCAAAATAACGCACAGCGTCTACCGAAAGGGAATGCACACAGATGCCTATCTGAATGCAGATTCGCATCATCACCCAGCAAAGAAATCCTCTCTCATCAAGATGCTCGTACATTGGGCAAAGACTGTCAGATGGTGAAAGTTTAAGGAAAGAGATTAAACATGTTAAAGAAGGACTAAGACTGGCTACAATGCTCAAATTAACAGCATTGAATGCCAAATCAAGATCGAACAACAATACTACTGAAAGTGATCAGATTATCAATACAATTAAAATACCATATTTCTCAGGAGTTCAAAAGTAAAACATTAAAGTAAGATTTGGTATGGTCCACAAAATTCAAAATCTAGTGTCTTGTACTAAAGATGAATTGCCGAAGTTATCAACAGAAGGTGTATATCGGATTAATTGCTTATGCGGTAAGTGTTATATTGGACAGACGGAACGTAACAGCGTAAGACTAAAAGAACACCAAAGGAAAATTAAATTCTCCCAAACAGCTGTCAGCAGTGGCAGAGCATGCTTGCCAACAAGGACATTCAATTTATTTTTATAACGTTGAAGTGTTATGCAGAACTAATTATTTCTTGCCAAGATTAGAGAATCAATTGAAATTGAGAATTCTAATAATTGTAATCGCTGTGATAGCTATAGACTCAGCGCAGCCTGGAAGCGTATTATTAAGTAACTAGGGGTTGTGAGGGGGCGCCTGTGCCGCCCCTCAACCATTTACGGCCTTTGGCCAGGAAAGTCGCGAAAACAATTGCACACGAACGACGCATTCACGCAAGCACCCGATGCTCCGTTTAGAAGTTTTAAAATGAAACATCTTTGAATTGTATTGTTTTGAATGAGATCATTGTATTTCTTCATTAAAAGCTTATATCATTTTACATCTGAAAGACTTAATTGAAAACGACTTTTCGTGTGAATTTTCTCTCGTTAAGTAGATGTCCTTGCGGGGGGGTCGGTTCGATGCGGACTTTCACCTGTTTGGGATTGCGGGATCGAGATAAGGCGACATAGAGCTGCTGGCCGTGCGAGAAGACCGCCGTCTGCAGATAGATTCCAACGTGATCGAACGTCTGTCCCCTGCGCCTCCAGTCGTTCATGCAAGGGGGCACGTAGGTTTGCAGCGCCCCCTGCATGAAAACGACGGTAAGTGCAGCATTCATCACAGATAAAGTGTGCTTATATAAGAGTCTACACAACACATTGCAATTCCTTACAGGTTATTCACATGCTAAGTGGATGATTATTGATCTATTACATAATTTAATACACCCTCACCTCCGCCTCTGATCTAGATCCTGATGGGGTTCAACAATGATGACATCATCCTGCATATTTAAGACTGGAAGCAGGTGGATGGCTTCACTATTCTGGCAAATCGGCCGAAGATGCTGGATGTAATTTTCAGCGAAATGTCATACTCAAATTGTAAATGTTATGGATCCACTCTTCAACACACCGGTGGGCTAAATTAGTGAAATTTTTGTCAACGTGACACATTTTTTACTGATTGGCCATGTCGGGTGGTGGAGGGATGCAACACATGTATAAATAACGCGATCTAACCCAAAACCTTTTTACAATAAATGAATACAGTTTACACTAAAAATGTTGGCAGACGAGTTACGGAAGCAGAAGGTGTTGAACACTATGGGACCTTGCTTGAAATACGAAGGTTATGACTTTGTGTACACTGAGGGTAACCTAACAAATAAGGATTTTTTTTATATTAAAAATACCATGAAATTTATACCCATTAATAATGAATTGCCTATAACCAAATGATGCATAATTAACAACGAAAGCTCAGCAGGCATAAGCCTCGATAGTTCTTGTATTGGTGTCCACCTTGACAAAAATAGGTGTTATGGGCTGTGCCGTGGGCTGTTAAGCAAAGTCTGTCATTGTGTACAATTCTGTGGTGTAATGGTTTTGCAAATTGGACTTTGCAATCCAGAGGTCATCGGTTCGATTCGATTTCCCGCCGTTTAAACTGGATAATCTCAGATCCACCCCATCCGTCGTCCACCCAGCAGTATCGATGGGTAACACCGCAGCGAGTCGGCAGGTCGTGTGTGGTGGGGCAGAATGTGGGGACGCCCTCTTGTCGCATTGCGTCTGGTTAACGTGCAAGAGGAGATGAAATACAGCGAGTGGGTTCACTCGAGGAGAGGGCTTTTCACCAGCAGTGGCGTGAGCAAGCAATTCACCTTTTACTCTGCTCCCACTTCTAGGCTGAATCTGAATATTTACTTATTCTGGAGAAATCCGATGGGCTGTGAAGCAAATTTTCACAGATGTCCAGTTGGTGGGCGGGTCAAAAAGTTACAACTGATGCTGGGGTGGGGGGGCTACAATAGCAGTTTAAACAATGTTCTCACGTCTATGCTACCCTTCACTATCCTGCACTGACCGGCGTGGTGAAGTATAGCCATACAACCCTGACGATGTGCGGAGGCCTGCCTGTTAGGTGTTTCCTTAAACATAACTTAATACTGCCGTCTAGGCGAAATGGACGTCGTTAATTCTAATTCAGATATGATCAGCCCAGGAATTGAACCTATGCCTTGGCAATTAGTTGCACATCGTGGCCTTGCCTCCTGACTACTACACACACCCTGCTGAGTGAGAGACGCCTCCTCCTCAAAGGCGGAGTGAGGCTGTTGCGTTGCTCGTGTATCGCCACACTTCCAAGTGCGTGCAGCCCCTCATGCATTGGTGCTTGTTAAGCCAAAGTTCACATTGCTGTGCTCGAGCTATGAGGTGGTGTTCATCTGTGCGGCAGGGCCCTGAGTCACGAGTGGAAATTGCACATTCGTATAATGAAACTTATTTAACAACCCTGAAGAGATGTGAGGCTTAATTCGACCACCTGACTGACAATGGGACATGATTGCCACACGCTGAAACCACAGCGCCAGATTTGCTCGCTCAACTAAAACGCATTTCTGACCCCAGAGGGATGATGGGCTGAGTCCATCCTGGCCAGGATTTGAAATCTTTATCCTAAGATCGGGAGCTCTCCTGCTCAAATAACGAAGATGATTTCCGATGAGACATTGGTGATAGTTGACTGCGTGTACAGTGGCTTCGTGGCGAGTGTGCTGATCACAAAGCCATTCAAATCCACACGAGTGTCATCTAAATACAGATTGACTGGTTGAAGATGCCCTCCCTGGTAGTCCAAAGGCTGACCCAATAACACGGTTCTGGTCATGAATCATACATTCTGTTTAAGTACAGCTCGCAGGCAATACATACAGATTCTTAGTAAGGCGGGTAAACAACACCAGCCGTATTTGCTCCATAATGAGCTTACTCAAGTGTAACTAACAGCATGGAATTCACGAGCGTCGTAATTCTTAAATCCCCGCCTGGCGGTGCTGTTCTTAAAACGCATGTCTTGCAACAACGAAGTTCACGGGGGGAAACTTTAATCTATTATCCCTCCAGAGTCGAAAAAAAATCGAGTACCATTTCGTGGAACGTCAACAGTGATCATCCCCTGTGGAGAAACTGCCATAGGTATGTGGAATTTCCATACCATAGCCCATTGCTTGTTTAACCCTTAAGGAGGCCACGCTTGACAGCATTAGTGAAAGTATAATGGTGTTGGTGAAAGTTATATGCACGTGCTCTTGACATGCATAATGGGAAAAATGCATTATGTAAACAGGAGCTTGAAGCTCATTCTGTTTTTATATCTCCCTGTCCTACAATTTCCCACCATAATGTGCTTTGCATACATTCATCCTCACTGCAGGGACGGCTTCAACAGCTTCGTGCAAGCACAGACTGAAACATAACCCCCTCATCACAGCCGTCTTTATCCCAGCCTATTAGAATCGCGATAACAATGGCAGCGGGGAGTTTGAAAAAAAATATTGTACTGGAATAATTGTAATGAATTAAAATTGATATATACGTGTGGCAAGTTCTTTAATTTTTTATTTAAAGCTTTCGTGACTGCAGGGATTCATATTCTTGGTTCTTTCAGTAAAGTCACGCAGAAGCGAAATAATAAAATATAAAACAATAAAAATTCTCACGACGTTTCGATTGTAACACAAGCAATCATCATCAGGTGTGAAATTCACAGGCTATGGATCATCATCAGGTGTGAAATCCACAGAAAGAAAATTTGAAAAAAGTTTTTTCTTTCTGTGGATTTCACACCTGATGATGATTGCTTGTGTTGCAGTCGAAACGTCGTGAGAATTTTTATTGTTTTATATTTTATTATTTCCCTTCTATGTGACTTTACCGAAAGAACCAAGCATATGTTAACGTCACGACTGTCGGTGCTTACACCCACATTGCACTTAAGCGTACTCCTCACCGTCCGCGCATCATAGCCCCTGCCGGCACGCTTCCAATGGTGGTGTATTAATTATAAAGATAAGTAACGAGTGTCACGCTGTCATCTCCATAGAAATTCGTGTGACGGCACCATTGCACACATCCACCGGTTGAAGTGCATCGGTGAGAGTGCGTGACTTGCATTATCGTGCGTCGAAAAAGTGAAGCTCTCCGGTAGTGTGCGACCGTGGTCATCCAGAACAGACCGTACAACGTATAACGACGCAATGCCCCTATCCACCAAAACGAAGGAGAAATCACTGCGATACACTCAGCTGGCTCCTGATGCGGTTATCTGGGCTTGAGCACCTGAATGTGAAATTGTATTTTGTTGTTCTGCATCTACATCAGCAACCAAACGAAAGGAAAATAAAAACTTTGAATATTAAGGCTGGGAATTCAAGTCCCAAGCACGGGGTGAGGATAACCCCTCATGCCCCCTGGGTCGAAATGAGCCCCGTGTGGCAATAGGATCATGCTATGGATTTGCCTTTGCTACGGGAATGTGGAATTTCCACAAGAGGCTTAGGACTGGTCAAACACCCATAATCCACAATTCTATGTTTGTTTGATCAGGGAATCACTTTAACTTGGTTGTTCACTTCGCAAATTCCCATCTAGGAGGTTGGAAAATCATGCAAGCCAACATATAAATGAATACAGACTAACAAGGATCTCTCATGACCAATTTTTTTAAATCGAGGAGTCGGTGAGCCTTCTGGCCCAAGGTTGTCCGGCAGCACTTGTTTACGCAGCAAATCCTCATCTTAAATATTGACTTAAAGCTTTCGTGACTGCAGGAATTCATATTCCTTGGGTCTTTCGGTAAAGTCAATAGATATGTTCAAATTAATAAAAATAAACAAAAAGTACGACGGTTCGATCACAACACAAGCAATCGTCATCAGAAGGAAAAAAGAGGGGGGAAGCTGCTGAAGGCATGAGGCTGTTTTTAAAGGTTTAAAATGGGTGTGATCGAAACGTATTTTTGAATATGAAATCCTGATCTTGTTTTGACTTTTGGAGTCTCATCAGAAGAATGTGGCCAGTTAAACAAATAGTGATGAATTTTGATTTAAAGCTTTCGTGACTGCAGGGATTCATATTCTTGGTTCTTTCGGTAAAGTCACGTAGAAGGGAAACAATAAAATAATAAAAATAATAAACAATAAAATTATCACGACGTTTCCATTGCAACACAATCAATCATCATCAGGTGTGAAAACCACAGCAATAATTTTTTTTGCTGTGATTTTTATAATATTTTTTATATTTGTATTATTTTATTGTTTCCTTTCTACGTGACTTTACCGAAAGAACCAAGAATATGAAATACTGATGCGTTTCATAAACAACCATCATCATGATCCGTGGGTAGATTGCCCGTACAGTAAGGGAAAAAAGTATTTGACCCCCTGCTGATTTTGTACGTTTGCCCACTGACAAAGAAATGATCAGTCTATAATTTTAATGGTAGGTTTATTTGAACAGTGAGAGACAGAATAACAACAACACAATCCAG